TATTTTGAATAGATGTCACTCTAATTTAGGCGTCGAGAAAGAGTAAATAATAATAATAGGCATCACGAAATGTTGAAAAATTACAGTCAATCAAAAATACATAATACATAAACAAATATATAATGTAGATAAAATATTTAATGTAGTATACATTTAATTTTTTAATTTTGTTGGTAACTAAAAGTATATTCTTAATCAAGTTTCAAATAAAAACATACATGAATTCATTGCTTAGTAGCGAATCATTATGGTAGCACAATCCGGTCATGGTGCATTTCACAAGTGAATAACTGACTTGTTTTTGAAGTGTTGAAATTGTTGTATTACCTTGTATTACTCAGTAGTGATTATAATAACATACTATTGTTATGAAATGCAAGTAAAATTCAACTTAGTTTTAAGCGAATTATTTCGATCACATGTAAATGCTTGATGCAATACGATATCTGCCATGTTTTTTTCCATCCACACGAGTACCGGTAACCTTTGACTGTGAATGCAACACGAAAGAGATTTACCGATGTTGCAGTGCAACCTTTTAGCTTTGATTTTGATAGGAAAATGGCATGATTTTTGTTTTCAAGAAATTCATTGTTTTCGAAAGATAAACTGAGTATTGAAAAAAACTGTTTACGATGATAACAGCTCATTGTTGAAACGCAGTTTACCCATTCACGGTACCCATAATAAACATCATACTCTTGAATAGGCATCAATGACTATGGAAAACCTAAATTAGACTCTAAATTGGCTCTAAGATTGAAATGTTCGGGTTATGTTTATGATGTTACTGAAGGCCATTATTGTTAATGGTACTGGGGGGGGGGGGTTAATAATAAAACTCTTACTGTCAGTAACCACAAAATGTTGTTTTTACTTCAGCTCCATCTGTGTAGGTCAGTTAGAACCTTGATACCATGGAGACAACAAAGATGTCATGCCATGTTGTGTTCATTGTCCCGGAGACAACTGATGAAACATCAGAAAACTATGTTTATATCAAGATTTGTACACACAACATCCACATGTCAAGCTGAAATTATACAATTCAAACTTTCTGACATTGGTGAAGGAATTAGAGAAGTCAAACTTAAAGAATGGTACGTAGTTCTGTTTAACATTATTTATTTTTCACTAAGAATTTATTCTTTATTGTGTCCCAAAATAGATAGAGGGTTACCCTAGTACAAACACATACATGCATTTCTTTGCAATCTGATTCAAGATGGCAGAAAGGCAGCCATTTTAATGTATAGAATGTATACTTTCAAATTTTGTTACTTTGAACTTCATGATGAACATATTAGTCCCCGCCGTTATGCAGTCCTTAACAGGGACTTGTATTTTGCATCTTGTCCAACTAGCTGTGTGCCCAACATTATTTCTCAGACATGCTTTGACCAATTTCATTCAGACTTGCTACTGACATCACTCATGATGGGTCTTTGACCCTAACTGAGCTATTTGATTCAACATGGCCAACTAGTAGCCATTTTGTTTTTATACATTTCTAAGATACCCTTTTACAGATTTGGTTTAAATTCTGTACAAAGGCAATATATAGTGAGTTGAATATTTTCTTTAGTTATTTTTTGATTTTGGTAAAAATCTATCTAACTAGGACCATTTTTGTGAAAAAAATCACCAAATTTGAAAACATTCACAATTTCTCAGGCATGCCTGTGGATTACTAAATAAATGCACATCAGTTTGATTAATGACTTGATTCAAAATGTCTGACTGGTGGCCATGTTGTTTTTATTTTCATGTGTCGTCAAGCAAAGGTATCGTTTTTAACCTTTACCTGGTCAAGTGCTTTGTTAGCAAGAATTGTGAAAATTTCTCTGGGATCATTATGACACAGCGTATCAGTGACTTTTGAAAAATGTTGTCCTCACGAATTCCATTATTTTGTTTTGTAGGTACTGTGAAGTGGGGGACGTTGTAAGTCAGTTTGATAGTATTTGTGAAGTACAAAGTGATAAAGCTTCAGTGACAATAACAAGTCGATATGATGGAAAAATTACAAAGTTATACTATGATGTTGAAGACACTGCCCTTGTGGGGAAAGCTCTTATCGACATTGAAGTGGATGAATCTGGAGGTAAATTTCAGGATTTAGTGTTATTGTGTTTGCTTATTGGAAGTGTATCTCCAAATTAAAGAATTCATGCAAAGACACAGAGCAAGAGTAACGAGTTAAATAGTGGTTTTGGTTGATGAAAGCCAAAAACGTTTTTATCAAGTATACAGCTGTCGTGACCATGTGCAGTGATTTGCGATGAAGATTTCATTAGAAGTGAATTTTTGTGCTTTGAATAGGATCCCACTCTGTGAGTGTCAAACAATCGTACATGTAGTTTTAACTGATCACATCATAGAACACTGTGGGTGCTTAGAAATGTTTACATAGATTTTAGCTGCATCCAAAAACACAAAATGCAGGTACATGTACGATATAACGCTTTGCTAGCAAAGACAATACCAAAATCAATCTGAGATAAACACAAAATAGGACTTTTAGAAATGTGCGTTTTTCTTCCCAATTTTGTGATCATCTTGCGATTCATGTACCTTTTTTGTTTCGCGTGAGATATTCAATGTATACACCCTTACAGACCCTAGTCTTTGAGTTGTCTTTAAATTACAGGGAAAATAAAAAAAATCATTGAAAAGTGTTTAAATTTCTACATAGTTATTAATTCATTTTTAATAAGACCTGTTTTCTCCAGAGACCTACCGTATCCTCTTTGATGAGCTTTAGTGATGATTGGCCTGAATTAAGGGTCAAAATGTCTTGGAAAATGCAAGAAAGTTTGGGAAAAAGTCTGGAAAAGTCTTGGTAATCATTTGGCTTTTAGTGCCTTGGACTCTGGTCCATGCTGACCAATGTTTCATCCCATTTGAACACAATTGGGTCTATCAAATATGAGATTGGCTCAAATCTTTGTCCAGCTTTGTGTAGCGTTAACACTACTTATAATCCTATAATTTAGTTTCCTTCTGATGATTCTAACATGCCGGTAATTTTGTTTTTTAAACCTTTTTATGCTATGGTTTATCTTGTTGTGAAGTCATTCAATGTATGAGTAAAAATGTACAATGTAATTTTATTTTCTCAGAGGTTACAGAAGTAGAAGTATCCACTGACTCTGACTCAGATCATGAATTTGAACGACAAACTCAGCAGACACTAGGGGGTAATAAAGTGCCGGCCACGCCAGCAGTACGCAGGATAGCAAGGGAACATTCGGTAAATATTGTTTGCTGTAACTCAATATTGCACAATTGACTTTATGCATATAGCTAATGCATGTATGTTGTGCATTGCGTAATATCACATAGTATACCCACCTTGTACGTTAACAGATATGTAAGATTATTGGTTCAATTTTCTTGTACATCTTTGAATCAAATTATAATTGTACATGAAATTTGTGTGGTCCCAAAATGAAACCAAATACAAAATAAACATTTAAAAGTCTATCTTCCAAGCTTCACAAAATAATATGTTGTATAATGTCTGTTTTGTTCGTTCTAATACTAGTATTACATTGAAATGACCTGTATTTAGAAAACATATTGGTAGTGAAAAAAAGATAATGAATACTGTAGAATACTTTATTTTTGCTTGGAATTTATTTTCGCTATTTTCGCTGAAGGGATGATTCCGTGAAAATAAAATCCAACGAATATACTTTTTTTCCTATATTTCACATTAAACTCATGAAAAATCAGTGAAAATAAATTCCAAGCAAAACGCCCAAAAAGCCTTTTCAGCGAAAATTAATTCCAGCGAAAATAAAGTATTCCACAGTATGTTTGTGTTAGGTAAATAATAATAAAACTGGTATTGTTTTAAATCCACAGGTGTAACATGTCAATGGCTGTAAGCATGTTTGAATAAACTACTGTAAAACAATGTCTTTTTAGCTAGCATGTTATTTTAGCTAATTTAGCTAATCTGTGATTTTGCTAATTCAAGATGTAGCTAATTTAACATAAAGTATATTCTCACAATGAGATAGTCAACACTTTAGCTAGATTAAGATTCTGGTAATTCATGCCAAGAGTCAAATCTGCTAAAATTGCATGCAGCTATTTCAACGTGTTCTACAGTATTTATGCAATGTATATTTAAACATTACCGGTACTGCTTTATATATTGAACACTTCAGGTAATCTCCTCAGCTGCATGTAGATGAGCTTCTGTTGAGTTTTGCAGTGTTTCTTCCATGATTTTCACAATTCTTGTTACTTATGTGCTCTGAAGCAGGGTTGATATACTACTGTAAAAACTGTTACATTACTATTAAAATGATACAATGCAACAGATGAGAAATGGTGAATATTTGGATCTCAGTTGTTTAAAAAGAATGGGTGTGTTGTTTTTATTTTATAGGTGGATTTAATAAATGTACAAGGAACAGGAAAAGATGGTCGTATATTAAAAGAAGATATACTAAAATATGTAAAAGAAGGTAGACCCTCACCTAGTGAGTAAATATTATATTTATTTTAAGTTTGTTGTCACTGTAATCTTTTTATTGAAGCATTTATTGTAGCTTTCAGTCTTCCATCTTCAAAACAAATAAATTTTATATTTATTTTGTTTCAGTTCTTCCTATACAAGAAATTGTTCCCCCACCACCATCGCCGTCAACCATTAAACCAAAGACAGCTGCTCCATCAGTTAAATCACCCCCTGCAGCTACCGCTCCACCAACGAGACCAGTGACAGTGACAGGTAAAGACAAGACAGTTCCAATCACAGGATTCATGAAAGTGATGGTGAAAACAATGAATGTGGCAAACCAAGTCCCCCACTTTGGTTACTCTGATGAAATAGATGTTACAGAACTAGTAAAAATGAGAAAGAGGTTACGAGAGATTGGTGCTTCCAGGGGGATTAGGTTGTCTTATATGCCCCTCTTTTTAAAGGTAAATTTATAGTTTCCTGTAAAAACTATAACAATGTATTCTTCTTATTTTGCTGATATATCTTCTTCTTGTATAAAAACCAATATCCTTGACATGTGGACTAAATTACTCAATGTTTGTTTGAATGCATGAACATGGCACTGTTTCAGTTATAACAGAGATTTGGTTTAAAATTGCAACTATTGTCACAGGAAATTACTAATTATTTACTATATATTTTATACTGCATAAGGTTAAATTGTTACACATATTTATTTTGGCAAAGCATGGAAATCATCGTGACAGGTCGAATGACTCATTGAGTATGCAAACAGTGCTTACACTGGTAAATCTTTTGAGCAGTTATGCATGCCATACCATGCAAATTTATGTGTATTTTATTTAAAATATTCATATTTTCTTGAAAACAATTGTAACATTGGTTATTTAATAAATAATGAATGGATCATTAAAAATAGTTTGCATGTAATTATTAATCTATTTTATCTTGCAGATTTAACCATCACTGATTTGTCCAAGTATTAAGGCAAAGTTTTAATCCTTATGCTATGTTTTTCTTTCTGACCACCAGGCTGCATCAATGGCTTTACTCCACTTTCCCTCCTTAAATGCACATACGGATGAGAAATGTGAAAATTTGATTTACAAGGTGAGTTTGATTCAGGGACTTAGACATGGATAGAAACACTGAATTGATGTACTACAATCAGTGTGTCTAATGCAGACTTCTGCTAGCCTCCTTTTGACCTTTGCAATATGCTAAAGTGAACAGAGAACAATTGCTTGGATCAGGACAGCTGAGTTGGAAATTTAGGGAAAAGAGCTTGCTATGATGGTGTTGGCAGCCTCTTGTGGCAATTAATATTTCTACATTTTCGTTCACATCTTGCACTGTCAATACAAGCATCTCAGGACAGCCTTGTCTGGATATGTCTATCAATTCGTAGCATTACTTTTCTGTGTCTTCATCACTACGACAATACAATTTATTCTTTATTGTGACTTTGTTGTCTTTCCTTCACTGTGAGATCCTGAGTTGTTAGTGAAATCGTATTTTAAAAACAAGGCAAACAAAGGTCATAGCATTGTCTAGTGGTGTTGATTTTTTCTGTGTTTTCACATTAAATAATGTGCTATACACATTTGATGTTGCTAAGGGTACTTCAATGTCATGTCCCTCCTGACAGATCAGCATTTCAACATTAATCTACAAAAAAAAGAAATTTTAAGTTCAAAATCAAATAATTTGTTTTTTTTGCATTCAGTTTGCACATTACACAAGTCCTTATAGTGAACAGAAAATCCCCTATTCTTCCTCTCACAAAATGTCATGAACTGCTCCCTGCATTGACGCTGCAGTTCGGCGTCTTCTACACCGA